GTTTGTGCACATTACCGGTGTATACATCGTGTATATACAGTATAACACCATCTCTGCGCCGTTTTACAACAGCCAGAATTATATTAAAAGATCAGCAGATTTGATTGTGCAGTCGTCCATATATTATGAGGTTCAAGCTTCACTGTACATGTAACCTCAAATTTCAATTGATTTGTTTGATAAAAAAAGTAGTTAGAGACTTAGGGGTATCAAATCATATTATCAAGGTTATTTTCAACAGAAGCTGTCTCTTATTATATTAAAATATGAACATGAATACGGGAACAGTGGTACTCAGGAGAAACCTCAAAGGCCTATATGTACAACATATTGAATGTATAAATAATGTATTGCAAATTATATTTAAAGGTAATACAGGTGTACAAAGTTTTGGTATGGGGTCATGAATTTGGTTCAAATGAACATATTGGAAGCATAGGCGATCCTACAATATTCAGTGATCGTTGTCGTGGTTGAAATCAAGTTAAAGTGATGAAATTGTAAATAATAAACTCATTATGTTGTATAGCGCCCTCTCAAGGTCAATATATTAATTTAGCTATAAAACAATGTTTTTTGAATAAAAACGACCGATTTGCTATTACCGTTTGGAAATTATATATCACAACAACATACATGTATTCTGAGATTTTCAAGGTCGCAGATACCATCGTATGGTCGTAGGCGCTATTTGAAATTTGTAAAAAATTTACCGGGAGCACCGGTAAATTTGTATATTCAATTTTTCTCGAAAGCAGAAGTGTTTTAGGGGCTAAATTTTGTAGTGCTTATAAAACATCCATAGGGGCATCCAGTTAAATCAAAATTGTAAAGAATCACTGTCCAGCCAAATTCAAAATTTACCAAAACTTTGTAATACCTTTAAGTCTACTAGATCACCATTCACCACCTAAAAAACTAAGGGCTGTGTACATAGACTACATTGTATACATGTAGGCCTAAAAATATGCATGTTTGTAACTGTTTACCGGTAACTATTTATAGCACTCGCTAAAAGATGATGAAATCAATGAAACTAGTTTCATTTCATGTTGTTTGCAAATATCGGGAAATGTACTAACTAGACATTTTGAGGAGCAGGAAGTTACAGAAAATCCATGTACCGGTAATTTAAATGAGCTGCACAGATGCCCTTTTTCAAAATATGCTTTTGCAAATCAGAGTTCTCTCTCTCTCACACTTTCTAGGCTAACACACATGTACCGGTATGTGCATTACAATTTACAACTTACAAGTACTCAAAAGTTTTTAAGTTTCTATCGTACTGGTGTAAGGAAAACATTAACAAATAAATAAAACATTCAAAAGACACCACCCCCCCCCCCCCCAAAAAAAAAAAAAAAAAAAAAAAAATACATACCGGTAAATAAATAAAAATACATGTACATTAACACACAAACAAAACAAAACATGTATGATCAATCATCATAAAAATATATCATACAAGTGATGATACAACCAAGTTCAACCTTACAATAATTGCAAGTGGTGCACTTCTTGTGATTGCATCATTTACAAGGTGGAAAGAGAAATTCTAAGTACGGTACAGGTACGGTACATGTATATGTAACAAAAACACAAAACACAAATACAATTAAAAATTGGTTCCAACATGTACATTGTATGCCTTGTTCATATTTGAGTAATTGATTGAATTTCTAATGATTGGTAATATTTGGAAAATACTAACAGACACAACACTTAACCTGTGTATGATACAGTTGTGTCAATGCAGGCATGCAGATAACATCAGTTTCCATAGATCTATATTAAACTCAATTGAGCTTAACAATACAGTGCATCTCAGTAGGTAAACCACAAATTCTAAACCTGTGTTGGCTTTTGCAATGGTTGAGAGATCATTTACATAATAAAAGGGTGATTCCAAACTCAAACTTTTCATGACAGTGTGCGACGACGAGTCATTGGTGGTCTGGGAAGACTGCTTTGTTCATAATCACACAAAAGTATGGTAGTGTATTAAACAGTGGAGGAATGCAATGATGGGGCACAACAATCTGGACCTATTATATAGCAGGCAAGATTAGCTGACATACTATACTATGTACCTGTATGTACAATAATAGTGCTCAGTAGATTAGATGCTTCATTACTTTGTTTACTTCTTTGCCATAATTTCTATGCTTCTATTGCAGACAAATTCCCTGATTTATATTCCTACTCTAGTTGAACTGAATTTACTTGATCTTTTTATTTTATTTTCATTTTTGTAAAAAATTTGGTTTATATTGTAATTGATGCAAACTTGCAAAGTGCAAAGATATCTTTTTTTCCCTTCAACTTGATCATGTGTCACAATACACATGTGCACATTGTGGTTGGTCAACATTCAAGCGCCTAAAGAATGATCTTACTTGCTTTAGTTTTCTAACTTTGAAAAGAGCACACGAATGTACAGTACACGTACATGAAAAGAGCTAAAAAATAATCTTTTAATACATTCTATTAACAGAAAAAACTTTTTAGTCACTTTTTGATAATTCAACATCTCAACAATTGTTTCATGCAGCTTTGGAATTTTTTTTTTAAATGTTGAGCATAGAAAAACTACTCCTACATGTACAGTACATCTAAAACAGCAAGAAAACTTTACAGACAGGACTTTTTTTACCCATTAATATAATATACAGTATTCATTTAGGTTATTTGCACGTACAGCAAAATCATGTTACTCTGGCAAATTGATTAGATCCAAGTATCTGATCGAAATGAACTAGTTGGGGAAAGAGTTTCAAATTTCATTATTCTCTCCTTCTCCCTCTTTTCTCTTTCGCGATATTACAAGTGAGCTCATATCCAGGTTCACAACGATATGTTGTGACTCACAATGAGTTGGCAGGCACCGTTAACAGGCAGAGACCAGATCAAGTCTCACCGGTATTGACACAAGCAAAGGAATCAGAGTCAAACCTCGGAAGTTGACGAATTAAACCGTTGAAGAATCTAGCGCTAGCACCTACTCTCTAATTCTTTGCTATGTACAACAATCTATGTTACGAGCCTGTTCCTGTCATTTTGACTCAATGAAAAATGGCTTAGTCTACTACATTTGCATCATACAACATGTACTTAATAACAAACATACAGGTGTACATCACACAATGCCATGGTGAACATTAATGAAGTTCGTGATTAAATTTACAAGTCAAATTACATGTTGTTTCTCAATGAAAAAGAAAGCCAACACGCCCATGCCCACACAACCAATTCAATACAAATATGGATTAGGTAAATAAGGAAGAAATATCATTAAGAAAAAGCTCCTGGATCCAGTGACAAAACTGTTATTTCATTTTTTGTGTTCAATGATTTGAAATTTTGAATTCCTTTCTGATTTGGGTTAATTTATTGTATGTTATTGTATGTTATTTTATGTTATTTTATGTTGTTATTATCAGTGGCCTAATGAGCAAAAACTTTTTCGGGGGCAGGACAAAAAAAATTGCCTGCAATATAGATTGGGGAATTTGTAATTCTCAACAAACGCATAAAAAAGTACAATTTTAAAAAAAGTGAGAAAAAAAACCAAGACAAATCTTGTCATTTCAGCAACATTTGTAAATCAATGGTATCGAATGAAAAATAAACCATGTTATAATTTTATTTGAGGGTGGGACATGCCCCCCCCCCCCATCAGTACGCCAGTGGTTATTATTGTTATACTACATGTATACAGGATGTAATGTTGTTGTTATTTTGCTTTACTTGTGCCAGTGTTTTAGATATATTTTTTAGTTTTTGACATTCTGGAAATCTGTTGATAAAGTTACAAAAAATCATGGTATCTTTACAGAATGAAAGCAAAACATTGAAGAAAAAAAATGAATTGTCATACATGCATCTTGATAGAAAAAAGAAATATGGTATGAATAAAGATATCTTTTACATATTGACTACCAGGTATGTAAATTCTTTTTGTTCTTCCAATGACACAAGCCCAGATTTCTGCCTATTAAGTTTACATAATTACTATAATCATGTGAAACAGGGAATTGAAAGAAAAAAAGAAAAAAAATTAAATATCCGAAAGAATCCAACCAACTTGAAAAAAAATAATAACACAATGTACATTGTACACTATCAATACCCCAAATTTGTGAGAATGAATATCTATTGGTTATTTATTTGACCCCAAAAAATAACTTGCCATTTGCATTTGCAGTGAGTTAGTATTGAGGTATCCCCCACCCCCTCCCCTCCCTATCACCAGCCACCGTGACCCATACAGCAAGATATTGTTTTTAAAGCATTGTCATTGTCAATTGTCATCAACATTGTTTGACAGAGATTATATTTTAATAATGTAGCACAAAGCAAAGCAAAGCGAAAGCTTTCAGACAATGTATCTCGCCAGGCACTACATCACCCCCCCCCCCCCCCCCCAAGGAGAAGAAAAGAATTTCAGACCGAATCAAATGGATGTTAAAAAGTATTGTCAACATTGTTTGTCAAAAGACAATGTCGCACAAGGCAAGAACTATAGCAAGGCCACAAAGTTTCAAACAATAGCGACCCTATTCGTCTATATATGCGAGCACATTTCATTATAGAGCAAGGATGCTTGAGGAAACACAATTGAGATTAAATAAAGAAAAATGGCCAGTCCAAACTCTTATGTGTAAAAAAATCTTTTCAGACAGGGTTACAAGATACAAAGGTCACTCAATAGATTTTTTTTTCTTCTCAAAAATCAATAGGCAGGTATTATCATTTGTGTGTATCATTGTGTGTTTGTAAGAAGATGTACGAGTGTGTATCGCCCGCTTGTGAATGGTTTTCAATTTGTTCACTGTTCCGTATAAACAACCAACCATTATCTGTGTATCCAACACCTTCAAGACATTGATGGCACCAAATCATGGCACAGACAATATGACTTTATTATGATTCTATTTTTATTTCATTCTAATTTTAGGAAAAATTATTTTTAAAACATGAGAGGAGAAATAATAACTCACTTCTCCGTGAGAATGATGTCTGCCGTCTGGAGTATGTTCAGGGAGAAAGTAGAGCCGTAAACTGGATAGCATAATTCCTTCCGTGCCCTTGTCTTCCCATAATAATTGCAGTTCGGCTATGCAAAGAGGGTCGTTTTCCGAGCACTTGACGAAAAAGAATTCGCCAAGCGAAATCGTTCTCCACTTCGAGTTTTTGAGAAATTTGAAGCCCTTGAAGAAAGTGTAAGGCCCATGTTGCCCACACTTGGACCCAACCCACTGTAAATTAAAACAAAGCGAGGAAATCATTAGAATAACGAAGTATTTGGAATGCAATTTAGGCCTAATTATATCTTAGTTTATGCACACAGCAGCACACACACTAAATTCACGCATATCGTAACATTACACTCCCCCTCAAATATTACACCAAGGGTCAAACTTCGAATCGAAACTTCACTCGCGGTCTTTGAATGGTAGCAATATAAAATCACTCTCAAAACATAAAAAACGTCATGAAAATTTCCAACAACTACACCACACTGATATCTTATATATAATACTTGATTTGGTAAAATATTTCAGCAAAAACTCACCTGCAACCGGTATTTATCCATAATTTTAGCAGTGATATCGCGCTGTTTAAACAGTGGTAGTTGTGTCTTCGTGAATACACACTTGTTGTTTGACGGTGACGTCATTCTTCATTTGCATAATTTATTACACTCTTTGCTGCTTGATTTGCATCGAGAGCAATAAAGAAAGATTGACACATGAAATCACGTGATTTATTTTTATTGATAAACGTGTGATTTGCATGACAATTACTTGTTGGCATTTGAGGAAGCTAAATATCACTGCAAGATGACGATATAGCCTATTATGACAATTTAATACAGCAGCGCAAGTGAAGGCTACGATATGGAGCTGCGATATTGATGAGAAAAGGAATGCAATATTTACTATTTTCCTTACCTAAAAAAAATATAGGCCTAGACTATACTATATAGTCCTATAACTATGATATTTTCCCTGTCATTCAATCTCAGAAAATGTAGGCCTAGCCTATAGCGCATGTAGACCTATTTCAAATTAATAATTGACCATAACCTATACATATTCTTATTTTTACTTATAATTCCAAATGATAATTGTCATATAATCGGAATGACGTACATAAAGACTCTCTTCAATTACGAATAATTACTTTGCTATGATTTCAATTTTGACAGTAAAATGATAGGCCTATATAAAACTATGACAAAATATAAGTGAATTACATTACAAAGTTTTTTAATTTGTAAAAAAAATATTTTAAAAAGGAGGCGGCCCCCGAAAAAGAGGCGGGCGGGGACGCTAGACATGATTTTTTGTTTTCTTTCTTAATGGCCTAAACTGACATCGACTTGACAGTAACCAATTAGATTAAATCAGATATCAAGGTCTATGGAAGAACTAAAGTTTTTTTTTTTTTTTTTAAATCAATAAAATGGGATAGGAAGCCAAAGGGCATCTGTCTTCAATGGCTCATCAAGAGTGGGTGCATGGGGGCACGGGCCCCCGTCCCTGGCAAAAAAAGAATTAAAAAAAAGATGGCCCCCACCTCTGGGGGAAAAAAGAGGAAAGATGGTATCCACAATTTTATATTTGTTTTGCTCAAGGAGGGGGAGGGGGGTGTTGAGTAAAAAAAATAAAATAGTGCTCACTATCCTGCCCCCCCTCCATTGAGCACCCCCCAAAATGCTCATTACCCCCCCCCCCCCCTCGCCGACGACTGGATCCGCCCCTTGCTGTCTCATCTCCTCCTCCCCCCCCCCCCCTAATCATAATCATGCCAACGGGCGTACAAATTAACTTGAATGGGATCGATGAGCATTATTCATTCCAGTTCTATTTTGTTTCCCGATCACCGCCCACCCCTGTAATGAAGACGTTGATGCTAGCACTGATCATTATTTATATCACCTGATCATGCTGCCCATGAGGTATGGATAGTATCCCTCAAAATGTAAGGCAAGCTAAGAAAGTTCAACAATTCAAAACTGCTCTTAAAACATATTTATTTAATATTATCATTTTTTTGCAGTTTTTCTATTATTTTTTAAACTCCGTCTTCTTTTTTTAAAACTCTTTCCTAAGCGCGTTGAGATCCTTTTGAAAGGTATATTGTGCGATATAAGAACAATACTGTTATATTATTATTATCATAACCGATGTGATTCCTTTCAATTTTAAATGAATAAGTTTAACATTATATTACTCCATGTCTCCATTCATTCATAATATATGCATAAACAAAATGTAAAAAATGGATCACGAATATTAACACTGGATGAATGTGGAGACAGCTTTTAAAGGTACTTTGTAACATTGTCAATAATGTCAAAAAATGCTTTTAGTATGGTTATTTATTCCTGGAATTAATAATTAACCATCTCTGAAAGTATGAATTGAAAAGAGGATCATTTACCCACACAAAATGTAAAAGAATGGACTTTTCGAAGATAGATTGCACTGAGAGCGGGGGAGGAGGGAAGGGGGATCCCCATTCAGTAGGTAGTTGTGCTGGTCTTCAGTGTAGCGCAAATACAGGGGCACAGTGCAAGAAAGAGAAAGTTGCAGAGAGGGGCCCGGAGGTATTGTGTGAACTTGAGGAGATATAGATAATTGAGATTGAGAGAGACAGAGAGACAGAGAGAGACAGAGAGAGAGAGAGAGAGAGAGAGGGGGAGGGAGGAGGGGGGGGGGGGTCAGAGCAGGCGCGGATCCAGGATTTCTTAGGGGGGGGGGGCCCAAATTTGAAATTTTGCGAGCCAAATATTGGTACGTAATGGTGACCAACAGTGACATAATGCGGGGGGGGGGGTCGGTGCAGGGAGGGGCGAGTTTCCCCCTCCCTCCTCCGCGAAACGCGGAAGCTTTGACGTTTATTAAATTATTAGAGAAAGAAGACGATTCGTTGTACCGTTCTCGAAAAAAATTCTCGTCTGAATTAAGTTTTTCACCTCCCGCGCGAAGCGCGGAAAATTTTACGATTTATTTAACTATTAGAGAAAGAAGACGGTTAGTTGTAGAGTTTTCGACTCTTAATCCTCGTCTGAATTCAGGTCCCCCCCCCCTCTGCGCGAAGCGCGAAAGCTTTTAAGTTTATTTAACTATTAGAGAAAGAAGACGATTCGTTGTACCGTTTTCGAAAATAATCCTCGTCTGAATTTAGATTGTCCCCCTCCCGCGCGAAGCTTGGAAGCTTTTACGTTTCATTAAATCATTCTAGAAACAAGACGATGCGTTGTACAGTTCTCGACTCTTAATCCTCGTCTGAATTCAGTTTTCCTCCTTCCGCGCGAAGCGTGGAAGCTTTTACGATTCATTAAATCATTAGAGAAAGAAGACGATTCGTTGTACAGTTCTCGACTCTTAATCCTCGTCTGAATTCAGTTTTCCCCCTCCTGCACGAAGCGCGGAAGCTTTGACGTTTCAATAAAATATTAAAGAAAGAAGACGATTCGTTGTACCGTTTTTGAAAATAATCCTCGTCTGAATTTAGATTTTTCCCCTCCCGCGCGAAGCGCGGAAGCTTTGACGTTTCATCAAAATATTAAAGAAAGAAGACGATTCGTTGTACCGTTTTTGAAAATAATTCTCGTCTAAATTTAGATTTTCCCCCTTCCGCGCGAAGCGCGGAAGCTTTTACGTTTCATTAAATCATTCGAGAAACAAGACGATTCGTTGTACAGTTCTCGATTCTTAATCCTTGTCTAAATTCATCCCCCCCTCCCCCTCCTGCGCGAAGCGCGGAAGCTTTGACGTTTCATTAAAATATTAAAGAAAGAAGACGATTCGTTGTACCGTTCTCGACTCTTAATCCTCGACTGAATTCAGGTCCCCCCCCCCCTCTCGCGGAAGCTTTTAATTTTCATTAAATCATGAGAGAAAGAAAACGATTCGTTGTACCGTTTTCGAAAATAATCCTCGTCTGAATTTAGATTTTCCCCTCTTCCGCGCGAAGCTCGGAAGCTTTAACGTTTCATTAAATCATTCGAGAAACAAGACGATTCGTTGTACAGTTCTCGATTCTTAATCCTTGTCTAAATTCATCCCCCCCCCCCTCCCCCTCCTGCGCGAAGCGCGGAAGCTTTGACGTTTCATTAAAATATTAAAGAAAGAAGACGATTCGTTGTACCGTTCTCGACTCTTAATCCTCGACTGAATTCAGGTCCCCCCCCCCCTCTCGCGGAAGCTTTTAATTTTCATTAAATCATGAGAGAAAGAAAACGATTCGTTGTACCGTTTTCGAAAATAATCCTCGTCTGAATTTAGATTTTCCCCTCTTCCGCGCGAAGCTCGGAAGCTTTAACGTTTCATTAAATCATTCGAGAAACAAGACGATTCGTTGTACAGTTCTCGATTCTTAATCCTTGTCTAAATTCATCCCCCCCCCCTCCCCCTCCTGCGCGAAGCGCGGAAGCTTTGACGTTTCATTAAAATATTAAAGAAAGAAGACGATTCGTTGTACCGTTCTCGACTCTTAATCCTCGACTGAATTCAGGTCCCCCCCCCCCTCTCGCGGAAGCTTTTAATTTTCATTAAATCATGAGAGAAAGAAAACGATTCGTTGTACCGTTTTCGAAAATAATCCTCGTCTGAATTTAGATTTTCCCCTCTTCCGCGCGAAGCTCGGAAGCTTTAACGTTTCATTAAATCATTCGAGAAACAAGACGATTCGTTGTACAGTTCTCGATTCTTAATCCTCGTCTGAATTTAGTTTTCCCCCTTCCGCGCGAAGCGTGGAAGCTTTTACGAATCCTTAAATCATTAGAGAAAGAAGACGATTCGTTGTACCGTTCTCGACTCTTAATCCTTGTCTAAATTCAGTCCCCCCCCCCCCTCCCCCTCCTTCGGGAAGCGCGGAAGCTTTGACGTTTCATCAAAATATTAAAGAAACAAGACGATTCGTTGTACAGTTCTCGATTCTTAATCCTCGTCTGAATTTAGTCTTCCCCCTTCCGCGCGAAGCGTGGAAGCTTTTACGAATCCTTAAATCATTAGAGAAAGAAGACGATTCGTTGTACCGTTCTCGACTCTTAATCCTTGTCTAAATTCAGTCCCCCCTCCCCCTCCTGCGCGAAGCGCGGAAGCTTTGACGTTTCATCAAAATATTAAAGAAAGAAGACGATTCGTTGTACCGTTCTCGACTCTTATTCCTTGTCTGAATTCAGGTCCCCCCTCCCGCGGAAGCTTTTAATTTTCATTAAATCATTAGAGAAAGAAGACGATTCGTTGTACCGTTCTCGAAAATAATCCATGTCGGAATTTTGTTCCCCCTCTATCCCGCACGAAGCGCGGAAGCTTTTATGTTTCGTTAAATCATTAAAGATTCGTATTATAGTTCTCGCCTCTGGATCCTCGTTTGAATTCAGGTTCCCCCCCCCCCCCCCCCCCGCGCGCAAAGCGCGGAAGCTTTGACGTTTCATTAAGATTAAGAGAGAAAGAAGACGATTTGCTGTACCGTTCTTGATTCTGAATTTCAAAGATATCCTTTGTCTGCTCCTTTTTCTTCCTACGCCCCCGCCTGGCTACGTGCCTGCGGTCCGATAAACATATTTTGATACCTTGTCCGACCCCGCAAGCTCAGGGGTTTAAGGCAATAATTTACGGTCAGATAAGCATTCAGGGGCCCGCCTTAGGGCCCCTGGTGGGGTCGAGACGGCGGAGCCGGCCCCGGAAGCTCAGGGGTTT